ATCATAAAAAATACTGCATAATATAAATGGTCTACAATGATCAAATGCATTTATATTTGCATAGAAACTTGCAAAACATCTTATAAAATAAAATAAAATAAAATGTTTTAAATATCTTATATTTTGAAAGAGAGAGAGTATTACGTAGGGATCTGAAATGCTAATTACCCATTGCCATTCACAGCAGTTACAATGTTCAAAAAAATCGGCCTATTCGGCGATTAGATATTCGTCTAGACGCTTATAAATTTCTAAACGCTATAATTTAATAAAACCAGTGAATCAAATCGGTTTATCGGTTTAAGTATTCAAAATCGATATTAATCAATTAGATCAATATTAATCGATCAAATCAGTCAAATTAATCGGTTTAGTGCATAATATTTTCTTTCAAATTTGGCATCGTTTTGAATAAGTAAAAAAAAACCAGAAGTATTCTTGATTACTAAACTTATAAATTATGAATTAACTATTTTCATTCTTTTTAGTTACTGAGACTAATCTATTTTAGTTTTCATATAATTTAGATATGAATATATATATATATATATATATATATTACAAATTCCAATATGGTATGTTTTTAATATTTCATATTTTATAACCAATATTTTGTTGTAAAATTATGAAAAATATTTTTTTAAAATAAGTAAATAATGTGCTACGCCTATGCCTCGTGTAGGCCCCAAATAATCGATCTAGACGCTAGACCATTATCGAACGCCTAACTAGTGTCTAACGATTTTTTGATCATTGGTAACTAGTAACTACTCTCTAGTAAAGATGTCATGGAAGCTCTAACTCTAAAGCTTAATATACTTCCTACAAATGACTATCAATTTTGACGATATCGATTAAACCAGACCATATGATCATAAATGGCCGAACATTTTATATATATCTATTTATATTCACATTTTTATATGAAAGAGATAAATAATATTTTTCTGAGTTTTAAAGATATTTTAGATATGAAAAACTATAATTCATTATAAAATTTATTACAAACAAATTATGACTATGGTAAATCGCTTAGCTGCGGAACTTCATGGTGTCCTTTGGTGTCTCCGCAGTTTAAAAGAATTTCGTATAGAATCCTATGAACTGTGGTCAGATTGTGGAGCGGCTATAGAAGCTTTAGCTAAACCGTAGGTAGGTAGTCCAAGATAAATTAAACAATCGAAAATATTGAATCAGAATTAATTGAGAAAAACCGAACTAAAACCAAACAAAAATAATAACATATCAGAATGATTAATAAATTTTAAAACCGAAAAAATTGAAAATGAACTAATATCAAATTAAAATATTTAAGATAATCTAAAATACAAGTATATACCCAAAATGTTGGTTATTTGTAGACCGAATGACCGACAACATTTGAATACCAAATAGTTCTCGGATTTTTTGCTCAAAAATACATATAATATCCGAACATACCAAAAAATATTTAAAATACCCAAAAATATATGAATGTGTCATAAACTGTAGAATCAAAATAACCGGAACCAAATAAAACTAAAACGGAGTTGACCCGAACACCCAGACCTATTGGTAGCCACAGATACAGTTAATGGTCGAAAGTATACAAATTATACAATCGTTGGATTTAAATAATTTAATCAATAAGTTTGTGAAGACTTTGGGCGGTAAAATAACTGGAGCAAAAAATAGAATCTTGTTTCCTTGGAAGGAAAGCGACTTTATTATTTGGTTGAGTCATTTTATTTTATTTTTGGTCGGAAGGTTGAGTTATTTTATAAACATCCATGCCTTTAAGCTTTAACTCTTACCAAACAAAAAAAACACCCATGTCTTTAACTAGTTTTTCTTTTTGACGATTTTGCTTTAGATTTTATTTCATATATCATAGCCTCCGTGGCTGTTGACTTATCATAGCCTTCGTGAATTTCCTGATCCAAAAGATGTGTAGTTGGGCAAAAATATATACATTTAGGATTTATCATGCCTACTTTTTTTTTTTTTTGGGCTTTTTCTAGTCTTTTAAAAATCTGAACAAATAATATATTTTGCTTTTAAAGGAATTGTGTCCTCGGGTTTATACTAAAAACATCACGATTTTGGTTAGTTTCGACTTTTGCATGACTATATGGAAGATTATGAAGACAACTTCCCTTTTTAGTTCCTTCAAGCTTTGGGATGTTAAGTTGATGCAGATTGTCCAAAGAAGAAGGCTAGTGATAGCCGCCCAATTGCAATCCATGATTTTTGAGGGTGACTTTGTTGTAGCCACACTTTTGCCTTTAACTGTTAATTTTGATGGCCTAAATTTTTTTTTGGTCATTCTGGGAGGTAAAGCACCATAATATATGGCCTTGGAATTGATACGATGTGTTTTTGTGTATTTCTAACTGTGATTGTTGCTCTTTGTCTTTTTTTTTTTAATAAAAAAATCTATCCAAAGAGTGTTTAGAATCTTCAAATCTTTAATATTTTGTTTTTTTGAATTTGATGTTAAATTAAACTCAAAAAGAAAATAACGTTTTTACATCAAGTGCAACTTTTGGTTGAAGAAATTAAAAATAGAAGAGTTTAAGCTTGTAAACTTATGTGGTCAAGTTCTTGATTGAAACCAAATTTGGAGGGCCTTTTCGTAGCGGTCAAGTTCTTGATTGAAACCAAATTTGGAGGGCCTTTTCGTAGCGTCGATCCCCAGTTGCTTTGATTGTTGATATTTGATTTCTCACTTGCTTGTCGATCCATTGGATTAAGCGAGAGCCGGGATTCGGAGGTTCGCCATGTCTTCTTCCGTTTCTCTCCTACCATATGGTATGAACTGTCACTTGGAAAAGATATCGAGCAGAGAAACTCTCAATTCTATCCTGCCAATGACCAGAAACCGTAGCAATCAGAGCCGACCAGTCTGTAGAGAATCTTGCCTTGTAGATATTCTTGGCTAGGTTTTCCCAAACTTCAGCTGCGAACCTACAAGAGAAAAATAAATGATCCCTTGTTTCGGTGTTGTTGTTGTAGAGTGTACACGTTGCTTGCAGCCCTCTGTTCCATTGGAGCATTCGATCCTTTGTAGAGAGTCTGTTTTGCACTGCTAGCCATGTGCAGAAGGAATACTTCGGTGTTGCGTGAGCAAACCAAATTCCTTCGTACCATGATACTTTGTTTGAAACTGAACGTGTCTGTCTCCAAGTTTCTTTTGTGAGGAACTTGTCTCTGTAAGTATCGTTTACTCCCCTCCACAGTACCTTATCCTCTTCATCTACCCGGTTCTGTTTCTGCAACATAAGAGCCTCTTCTATCCGATTTAGAAGTGCTGCTCGGTGTCGTCTTTGTCGCAGACCAGACCATGCTTCAGCCACAGTCATGTGTCTTCTAATACCGAGATCAATCATTCCCCGTTCTCCTACAACATCCAACAAAGGGCCCAGGGTTGACCAATTCTCATACCAAAACGATGTCCTTCTTTCATTCTTGACTTCCACTTTGCAAAGCTGCTTTGCATTGTCTCTGTACTTAAGTAGCTTTGTCCACATCCAAGAGCCTCTGTTTGTAGTTGATTTAATTTATTAAGTTTTTATAGGGTTTAGGTTGTTTTTTTTTATAAAAGACAACCTTTATATCTATACTAGTATAATCGCAGCACTTTTTGTGACGGGTGGGTAAAAAAGCTTTCGGGTATATCGGATACCCGACCCATTTTAAAAATTCCTTCACAAAAAATTTGTTGGGTCGGGTTATATTTAACTCAACTCATACACCGGATATTCCATATTTAATAATTTAGATTTTTAGAAGATTTGATTAAGATTTATAATTATGATTCTCCTATCATCTTTGTATGATTTGTTTTTAACTGTTTTGAATCATCATATAATACATAAAGTAAAAAAAAAAATCAATTTTTTTTCTGCATATACTGTGATTCGAAATTTTAAAAACGGACATATATTATCCAATTGACGAAAATGTGTGTTCAACGTTCTACATCGATTAAAATATATAGACAATGATTCAGAATCATATCATAAATAAGAACATTAATAAAATAAATGAGTTTTTTGGCGGGATGGGTTTGGCGGGACGGGTTTTTAAATCAACAATAATAAAAAGATTAAAATATCATTAATCCGCCGCTTCAATACGGATTTAATCCTTATTTTTTTTAATACAAATCACAGGACGGGTTAAGAAATTACGGAACGGGTTATATTTCGGAAATGATTTATATGGCGGACGAATTTGAATCAATATTTATATACCGCTTTAATACGGGTTAAATCCTCAGTTTATTAATAATTATCTCGTGGACTCGTGGTATACCGTTACTTAATAACAATTGTAAACTATAATATAAATAAATATGTTATAAGGAGATACAATTTACAAAATATTTTTATACTAACTTTAAAATTAAATCATCCCGCGGTGTACCGCGGGTTAAAATCTAGTATAATAATACAAGGATTACAAAGAGAGAAGCAGATACAAAACAACAACACAGCACAAGACACAATACTTACCAACTTTCCTGAAACTTAAGTCTGAAACACTTCTAACCAAGTGTACAAATACAAACTAGAAGGCGAGACATTTCTTTGGGCTCTTGAGAAAGATGGATGATAAAATTGAGAGTGCAGCTTGCAATTTCTTTCTTTCCAAATAAAATAAATGCACGCTTGGAAGAGCAACTTGAGAATCAACGCCACATTTTGGTTTGGAGACGGGTCCTTGATCCATCTAAGACTATGATCTTTAGATGTAAAGAAGGACCAAACCTCACTTGAGAAATGGCAATCAAAAAAGAGATGCTGAAGTGATTCATCCTGAGAGTTGCTGAGGATGCAAGAGGCCGAAACATTAAGTCCTCAACTAATTAAGCGGTCACGCGTGTGGAGTCTTCGTCTTGCAGCCACGTACCCAGGCAATGAAAGCGTGTTTGGGAATCTGACTTTGGTTGTTTTTGGAGATGTTACACCCATATGTACCACACAATCTAGGACAATGTATTATTATTATTATTTTTTTTTTAAAAAATTAATTTTTTGAATAAAACCGTTACAAGAGATATGATGGTGATCATAGAGTTCAACAAAGCGAAGAGATTTTCAAAGCACACACAAGATTCTAAAGCATGAAAAATAGGGAGAGAAAGAAATGTTTTGAAACCAATATCGACTAATTGGGTTTAGCCAAACCCACCTCGTCGACCACGATTTCCTCGACCGCGTCTTCCTCTTCCTCTTCCTCTTCCTCCACGACCAATATTTATTGCCTTGTTTGACAATTGCAATGGCCTGTCTTGGAGATGTTTTTCTGAAAATGGTGACTTTAGATTCATTATGAGATCCTCATCTGAATCCTCAGACTCGTCAGAATCAATCATATCTGAATCTTCGGGCAGCACCACATCCGATGCTAAATCTAACACCGCAAATTTATTTGAACTAGAAGCTTTGCGGAAAGAAGTATTAGAATTAGATTTGACCCCTGAAGTAGAGGTAGTGATATTTGAAGAGACCTTTGCGGGAGTAGCCATCACTTTCAAAGTTGAAGAAAGCATGGCAGTAGTTGAATCTGAAATTTGCAAGACCTCCTTCTCAACTAGCTGAGGAACGACAACTACATCCTTACTTGCATCAGTAATTGCTACTGATCTCAAGCCAATTGCAGCTTCTTCTTTCGAGTTTGAAGAGGAGAGAAACTCGGTGTTAGGATTTTCAACAACTTGAAGGGGTATAACCGATGAATCAACAACCGTTTGGTGAAACCCTTTCATTATTGCTGCACCATTAGAAATAATAGCCGTATCTAATGCCTTGGTTGAAGCATTGACAATGCTATTCTCATTCAAAGGAGGAGAACCATTATTACAAGATGAAACAACAGTCTTCTCTAAACCTACACCCAAACACCTAGATGCTTTATGCCCCAAGTGACCACATAAGCTACACTTAGAAGGCAGCCACGAGTAAACGACATCAACCATAGTTATTGAGCCACATTCCTCTTTTAAAGCAACCCTTTGAGGGAAGGGTTTATCAAGTTTTACCTCCACCAAAATATTTGCTTCTCCCATTTGGGTTGGATCCAGCCAGGGTCTGCTAGTTAACATTGGCTCCCCAATCCCCGAAGCAATCCATTTTATCCCTTTAAAAGAGTATAATTGGTTTGGGATGTTCTTAAGCGTAAGCCAAGCAGGAATCGTTGTGATCTCCGGAACTGCGAAATTTGCAACGGGCGACCAAGCTGATACGAACATCAAACAATCATCGACGTGCCACAACGCTCTCTGAAGAATCCAACAACGAGTGGCCTCATCCAGAATGTGAAAGAGATAAGAAGACTCACTCAGTTTCTTCGTAAAAATTCTATAATTTCTTCCCCAAATCTTACTCATAACAGCATGAATCAATCCTCCAGAAGGAGCAACGCATTGATAGAATTGTCCTATAATAAACTCCTTTAGATTCTCAATCCCTTCTAACAAAACGTGACTAGGGAGATTTATCAAAGGGGTTCCATCCTCTAAGTAATCCGGCGTGGTAACTCTATGCAAGTTACGCTTCCATTGATCCATCTTTGCAGCCCAAGGATAATCCTTTGAAAAAACTTTCAGAGACTCATCCTCAACTGTTCGAGATCCATCAGCAACCTTTGTATCCTTACCGTGAGCCCTCTTTCCAAGAACAATACCAACAGTAGCCATCGACTTCTTACTAATAGAGTCCACAAGCGACGGCCATCGCTCCATAGATGATGTGGCAGCTTGACCTACTGCAGGTTGACGAGAGGTAGAACTGAGGTTGAAAGGAACTTGCCAAGCTCCTTTAAGAGTCGACACCGGAGAGACAGGGAGCTTCTTTGAGATAACAAGTTCAGTTGCCGGAGTTGCAATTTCAACCGAACTCATCACTACCGGTGCTAGCTGAGACTTGGCAGTAGCTGAAGCAATTGAAACCGCCGGAAGAAAATAATCTTGAATAGATCGAGATTTACTCGACACGGTTCCAACATATGGGAGTCGACGGTGGATTTGGGGGAGGATTCACTAGTGTGGAAGAGCCATCTTGCGTCCACCTATGTAAATAAGGCCACCTAGGGTCTGGAGGATCAACGGCCGCGACGACCCCTCCGGGAATTGGTTCTGCTCCTTTGTCACGAGATGAGCCAGATCTTGAATTCATTGAGGAGAGTAAGTAATCTCGCCAGAGAATAGCAGATCGAGTAACGGTCGACAAATCCGCGGAGAATGCGGCTTCGCCGAGATTAGATGGCCGGAAATTGCTAGTTTGTTGTCGCTAAAAGTTTGTTGCTAGTTTTTTTTATATGTTTGGCCTCGTCTAAAAAACTTTATTTCTTTAATAACTGCAACTCATGGAAGTATGGAACGCTTAGACCATCTCCATTAGTTATTTTTGGTGGATGTTTAAAGATTTTTTATAATTAATTTTAATGTTATTTAATCATAACTCATAAGTGTCTTTAGAGTATGCGAGATGTCTTTAAGTGTCTACTAACCTAAGGCAAAAAAGAAAAAAGAGGTATAACTAAAAAACAGTTTTACCCAGCGAGCAAACAACTTAACCCACTTGAACACACTAATAACAATCATTACCTTAGCATAAAATCAGAACACCATTCCTCACCAAAAAAAAAATAAAAAAAAAATCAGAACACCATAACCATATTAATACAACCAACTAACAACTTCATGCAACATGTATCATGACACTTTCTCATCTTACTACACATTCGATCATCTTGCAACCTAACTAAAGCGTTTAGTTTATCAATGGAAGAATAATTATATTTTACTGACATAATCAGTAGATTTGTTGTTAAGCTGCTTGACAAGTTATTTTCTGAAATTCTTAACTTATTATTAGACTTCACCTAACCCAAGATCATACTCCTAGTACTTAGACTTTGTTCTTAGTAGAAGAATGCTAGTCTTCTTTCTCATTATTTAAGGAAAAGACTATTCACTAAAGGAAAATTTGGTTTCTATCTTTTTCTTCGATTGGTCATATTTTAAGTAATTTTGCTGAATTGAAACTACAGTAATTTAAATGTTATATTATGTCCGTACCATTTCAGAGATACGAAGCTATGAGGTATCGAAGACCAAAAAGTGCGTTATTTGTTATTTGGGGATTTATCGAATAAATCCCCAAATAACAAAACGACGTCGTTTGTATAGACTAAAACGACATCGTTTTGTTTCTTTGTTTAATGAGAGTCCACCTGTGTCAAAACGCAGTCGTTTTAAATGCTCACATGTCGTCCCCGTCAGCATCTGTTATCGGCACAATAACACCGTTTGACGATTTCAGGCTATCTCTCCCGGATTGATATATTTTGTGTTGTAAATTCAAATTAAATATAAGTTCAAGAGATTTTAAACATAGAAAAAAGTTTGAGATAATCAGGTGAGAGGTAAAGATCTGGGGCATAATTAGCTTTTGGTAAATTCTTGTCGGAGTTTAAGACAATTGCAACATTAGCCCATCATTTTTCCGTTTTTAACCTCACGCGCTAAGGGAAATGCAACAAAATTTTTTTGTTTCTCCCGAAACAAATATGCGTGTATATGTATATTTGCCAAACATCTATCGTTCTATTGTAGATATCCACAGATCTACTTAGATCCACAAATCTACTTAGATCCACATCTCTAATTTATAAATGTGTGTTTTTTGCGTGTATATGTATATTTGCCAAACATCTATCGTTCTATTGTAGATATCCACATATATACTTAGATCAACAAATCTACTTAGATCCACATCTCTAATTTATAAATCTGTGTTTTGATGTGCATTTTTTTGTAGACATCTATTTATTCTTTTTATTTTCACTTGATGTTGATACATAATTTACTGTTCAATTTTTTTACTGTTCAGAACTATGGCTGATATGGAGTTACCTTCCTGATTGTTCGCCGATAGAGAGGAACCTGTTGGCGATAGGATGAATATGTACTTTAAGCTCAATATGATCAAGGATGTGCTGAAAGGTCTTACGCCTGAAGAGATTGAAACCATTAGGCCTTGCTTCGGGAAACTTCTTGATGTCTACTCCAAACATGTCTTCTCTGGCAAATTGGCTCACTTTCTGTTAATCCGCCAGCTTAATGTTGTCAAGCGACAAAATTCAAAAGTTTTTCCATGTACTTGTTTTCATTCCATTGCTTTCACGATTGTATAGTATCTAGTTTTTTTTTGTGTTTTTTTCGCTTTCCTCACTAAATTCCGTCTCTATATCCACAAATATATTTAGATCCATAATTTATTAATTATCTCTGAGTTTAGATATTCAACTTCCCATGTAGATCTATATTTATTCGTATATATTTTGTCAAGCATCTATTGTTTGTTTTAGATATCCATAGATGTACTTAGATCTGTATCTATTCATGTATATTTTGCCAAACATCTGTTGTTCTATTGTAGATATCCACAGATCTACTTAGACAGTCTGCAGATTTGCATTAAATATAAGTCGTCTCCTTTCTTCTGTCGCCGCGTAGCCGTCACGTCCAAAACAGAGACGTCGCTTCATCCTTTTTTGCCAAAAAAAGTCAAAGTTGCTATCCCACTCGCATAGATACGTAAGCGCCTGAGTTTTTCGTTATTTTGGAGAAATTGAAGGGCAGAAGTGAGGTTGTTTTTCCTTTACTTGGAGTCAAAGCAGTCAATTACCTCTGCACTAATTTGCCTCTCTGTTTTTACCTCTGCGCTAACTCTCCCAAAAAGTTTTGTGTATGAAAGCGATAAAACAACATAGTTTAGGGAGAACCTAAAATATCCCGATCAGTTAATTGAAGCAATAAAAAACACAGAAACATATATATAACAATAAAATTTAAAGGGAAGTGTTACAAAAAGTTACATTTAAGAAAAAAAAGTTAGAAAACTCTAGAACAATAACAAAGGGAATATAAAAAAACTTTTGGTCTTACCTCAACTAGAAACCACTAGAACAAGAACAAAGGCATCATCACATTTACATTAAAAACTATAATATACCATGTCCTCAACTAAAGTCTAACTCGATACGAAATCTTATTCCGAGAAACCCTTAACAGGATTACGAAGAGATAAAAAAAAATGTTCTTCTTCTTCGTCGGTGGAGTAGGACAACAAGTAAGACAAGTCCTAAAATCCGGCGCCGGAACTTGCATAAGATGCGGCTCTGAAGCCGATTTAGTCGATTACGACAAAGTCTTGAAGCTCTTCTTTGTTCCTGTCTGGAGATGGCCTGGAAAAGATCCTCTACTTCATTGTAGAAACTGTGATCTGTTTTTCCCTCAGTCTCTGTCACCGCCACCAGTTTCTCTTGCTACGTGTCGGTTCTGTGATCGTGTCGTTGAGCCTGAGTTTCGTTTTTGTCCTTTTTGTGGTTCTTCTCTGTGAGTTTTGGTCTGTCCAAAAAAGTTGTGATCTCTTTTTTTCTGAAGATGTCTATGAGTTGTGTTCTGTCCTAAAAAAATCATAATCTTTTTTTTTTTTGCCGGAAAAAATCATAATCACTATTTATGTTTTTTTTTTAATCATTCATGTAAATTTCTGTCTTACAAATTTACAATTTTAGATTACTTATTCTGAGACACCCAAATCATTCATATACAGAATGTGAAATTTAGATATATACTTGGATAGTTCTCACATTCACTCCATCTTTTCTACCGGAGTTCGATGAGTTCGATTCCACTAAGTCGCGTTATCCTGCTTAGTAAGAATGGTTATTTCCTACCGAATTTTGATTCCACTAAGTCGCGTTATCCCGTTTAGTAAGAATTTGCTATAGATAGGATTTTGTCGATCCAAACATATATAAAAAAAAAAATGTATAGTAATATAATATGGCAAAATTTGTCACTAAAAGTCTTTAGTTAATCAAGCGCTATGTGAAAACAAGACCTCTACACAAATTACAAAATTTTACTACCGATACTAAGGAAATTTTAGCTTTATTTGCAGAAGAAACCAATCAAATGATTGGTTCTTAGAAGACATTAGTTTAGTGGGGAAAACTGATATTCAATTTCTCTCATAGAGAGTGAACTGTACACAGGGAAAAATGAATAACAATATATCTCCTTTTGATTTACAGTGGATGTTGTCTTTTATCTACGCAAAAGTTCTTTGTTTCATCGTTTTCTAGATGAATCCACAAACTCCAGATTGTTACTCGGCAAAGCTCTTCTGCGGTGAGAATGAACCAGATAATAACCTACACTTTTCTGAGGTTGCTGGTGAATAAGGAGCTGCAAAAACTTCCACGTCGCTGAAACATTAGATTTCTTCAATAACAGTTAGCCGGAAAAGGGTAGTTTATCATCGCCACGATCTACCGCGTTTCTCCATAGTCTATACCGGACTCCGAGCTTGTCATAAGCAACTGGTAAGTTCCATATGTTTGCACCATTCAACATCCGTTCTTGCTGTCCTAGAACTAGTCGCAAATCTTCGTTTAAGACCTGGAAACAAAGAAAAACGATAAATCAGATACAAGACTGCGATGATGGCATCAAGATGTCCGATTTATTTGTTCTTTACTTTACCTGTTCAGCGAAATGTCTCCAGAGATGTTCCATGAATGGAAGATTCTTTAATATAGGAGCGAAGTCTAGTGACATTCGGTAAAGAAGTCTTGTCTTGTTTTTGGAAGAAGGTAAACAGACATGGAGTTGATGAAGATGTGTTGCACACTGCTTTGTGCTTTTTCCTTCTAGTTTCCCGGGTTTGGAGATCCCGATTGTCGATAAAACAATACAAGGAGGTTTAAATTCCATATCGATTGGATACGGATCCCAGTATCCTTGGAGACCCGAGGAAGGCGTTAAAAACTTCACCAAACTGCAGTAACAGAAACAAAAAGCTTAAAACAAGTACACTTAAACAGATTCATCTTAAAAGTAACAGAGTAATGAAAGTGAAACAAACCTTGGGACACTCCAGCCTTTTGCGAAAGTGGATGTATGAGTGAATGGGGCATGAGCAAGATCCAAGAGATTATCTAGAAGTAAACCGTGTTCCACCGGGAGATCCATTACAAGCTGAGAGTTTTGAAGAGAACAAATGAGAAAATGCTGCATCCATATGAGATGATTGGATTGGAGATATGCTTGAAATGTAAGAATTACCTCGGCATGGATTAAAAACCCTGATGGAGGCTGTAAACATGGCAGTGTAGGTGCAGGTGGCTCATCGCCAGGCCAGATCCAGATCATACCTTCTTGTTCAAGACAAGGTAACGATTTGATCTTCACCTTCAGTAGCTTTGTAGACGGCATCTTCTTACATTCTCCATCGGTTGAGTATTCCCATCCTACAAAGGTCACATTTAATAAGATACAAGATATGGTTTTTCACTTGTTATCAACATGTGTAGAGAATGAGTTACTAACCGTGGTAAGGACATTGAATACGTCCCTCGTTCACGGTGCCAAGGTCAAGAGGACACGCTCTATGCGCACACGTATTCCGTACACATCCGGGTTTCCCGTCTTCACCCCTAAAGATAACCCATGGTTGTTCAAAGCATTCAATTGGTACCTTAAGACGAAAACAATAGCATTTCTCAGAAACTGTAAATAAAGGAAGACACCCAAGTCAAGCAAGAACCACTATACATACCATCGTGTCATGCTTGAGATCTGCAGTGAAAGCAACAGGATACCAAAAATTCTTCAAATGTGGACTATAAGGCGGAACCGGACCAGAAACATTCAAGCTTTTCGCACCTGTGTTTGTCTTTTCCCTATCTAAGTCGACAGCAGAAGCAGTGGCTGAAGAAGAGGGTTTATCTAATTCCGTTACAACTCTGCCCGGTAACAACCTATCATTAACCAATTCTTCCATGTGAGCTAACTTGTCTAAAGCAGTTGAAACCCGTGCTTCAGATATATGAACCTGTTTCATTTCGACTAACAGTTAGAAGAAGTTTGATAAAAAAAGGCTAATCATTTCCAGTGAATAGCATTATTAACAACCTGTTGGTGTGCTTTCGATAATTCTTCCTGCAATCCAGCTAGTTCTTTCTTCACAGTACCGATCGACTTGTACTCGCGAGCTAGAGGATTAAGTACATCAACAACCTAACATAAATTCAATCAAAACACAACCAACACTAAACATAAACCATTAATGATTCATCGTAGAGACGCCAATATCGAAAAAACTGCTACAAAAACATATATTTGAAGACATGTCAGTACTTGAAACTGATTGTCCCAATATAATCTAAGCTTTGAAGAACTTGAGCTATTCTACGTTTACTATATCTAGCCTAGGACTAAATGTAGCAGATTATAGCTCTGTTCTTATCATAAACACAACTTTACCAACTAGATAGACATAAAAAAGCTCAAAAGAAGTCAATGTAGAGCAAGAAACAAACCTTGTCATGAAGAATCATGATTGTAAGAAGATCTTGACGAGCACGCCAATCCAAGTATTGAATATCAAATCTAGCAACTTCAATAGCTTGATTAACATCTAAAAACTTTCCTTTATAAGGAGGAGCTTTTGATCTAGGATCCTCCACATCAAACAAAGGTCTCCATTGACTCTTCTTCTCAACTAAACCACTCTCATCACCAAACACAGCAAAAACCCTGAATTCTCCTTTCACTCCCTGTAACAATCACTCAACCATTTAAAAATCAAACCTTTTCTCAAACATTACAAAACCCATCTCGCAAAAACGTAACTTGACACTGATTTTCACAATTCGAACACTATTTTCACAGTTTTGCAGATAATTCTAAGTAAAAAAGATTGAAGCCAAAGTGGAGGAGAAGAGTAAAGTTACCTTCTTTCTGGAGAGATAAGATGATCTTGTTTTAGAGAAGGAGATAGGAAGAGATAAAGCAGAAGCACTAAACACGGCGGCGTTCATGGCGTCACCGGGAAGAGAAGAAAAATAGAAAACGGATTTTAGAAGAAAGTTTGAGATTTTATCTTTTTTTATTTAATTGAGATTGTTTTGTTGATAAGAGAAGAGATTTTGCCCGCGATCTGAGAAAGCCTTCGGGAAGATGACACGTGTACAGAGAATTGAACACGTGGCAGTACTATCATCCACATGATGGTGAAGAGGGATTTGCCAGGTCGGATTCTCTTAGATAGCTTTGCTTTTGTGAATTTTCTTGTAATGTTTTGTCATTTTCTCGCTTTGGTTTTCCATCACTAGTTTTTTTGTTTGTTTGTTTGTTTAATGTGAAAATAATATATGTATGTTTTTTTGTTGGCTCTCAAACTATACCTAAATTAATTGTCTATTAGGGATAAAAATACAGTATATGAACAGATAGATCAGACGAAAAAAATAAATGAACAGATAGACTAAAAAAATTCAGTGATATTTTTATCCGACTGGTAAACAATAAGGGTACAATTTTTTTATGAAACAAAACTTGGTTTCAATTTGATCTATGGTATCTTACTATCATCATATTATATAAAGTATCGTTTTTAAAGTTAGTAACTCACGAGATCGTTACACGTGTCAAATTTTTTGATCTGAGATTTTAACATGTAATAAATCAAATTTTCCTTTTTTAAAAAAAGAAAGTAAAAAAATAATTATAAAAAATTATAAATTTAAAAAATCTTAAAAAAATGTACAAATATAATTATAAAGAAATACATAGATTTTCTATACAAAAAATAAAAAATATAGAAAGATAATTATAAAAAAGGTATATGTATCTTATTATAAAAGTGAAATTATAGCATTATTTAATAACTCGAATTTCAAATTACTAATTTTAAAAAAAGGTTACTCATGAAATAGAAAGGACTACTTTCTCTTAAAAAAAGATTTAAGAAATTATAAAATTAATTAATATCTTAAAAGAAAAAATATTATAAAAAGGAAAAAGAGAGAACGAAGAAGAAATGGGTAATATTGGCCAAAAACGCATTCGTCGTTCTGTGAATGAATGAAATTAGGGTTTGGTGTTGATTTGAGATTGGCTCAAGAAGGTTAAAAATGTAATATAACTATTGAGGGTTTCTGATACGACATCAAGCTTATTGGGCCAATCTGAGATTTGCTCTGGAAACGTTATCAAGTGGCCTTATCATGTTCTAGGCTTTTTTTGGAAATAATCCATCAAGCATCTCTCTTTGTTGTCAATTTCCAGTTGGGCTATGTCTTGATATTTTGTAGAAGCCCATAAAATTTAAACTCTGTGTTGTATGTTAATCTTTAACAATCTTATTATATAAAGTATGATTTTCAAAGTTAATAACTCATAAGGTCATGCCACGTGTCAATTTTATCGATCTCAGATTTTGACGCGTGTAAAACGAAAATTTCTTTTTATTTATTCGTGCCACGTGTCAATTTTATCGATCTCAGATTTTGACACGTGTAAAACGAAAATTTCTTTTTATTTACTAGGTTATTAACCCCCGCTACGCGGGGGTTTGTATTTATCGATTTTTAAAATATTTTTGGGTTTAGTAATCATTTAAGTAGCCACACATCGACATTAGTAATGTAAAAATATTATAATAATATATTTTTGACTCTTTTTAACATAAATGTTTTTATTTATGTTGTTTAAAAATTTGTTTTCATAAGAAAGGAAACATTTATAGGATACAATTTAGTATGAAGGTGTTACAAATACAATGTGTCATTTTTGTGACTTGTTTTATATAATAAATTATTTCGCCATTAGTAATTATAAAAATATTTGGACAAAATATTGGAAATTAAACTACCAAAATATGTACACATTTGGGTATACTTTTGTTTCTCTTATCTATTAGTAAAATATGTATATGTAACATATCTTCTATGTTTGCATTTATTTTATATATTTTGATGAAATTATATACCACTAATGATATTTACTAAAATATTATCTTTCTTTATTTGGTTTTTGCCAAAAAGACTTTTTTACATTATTTGTAATACATTATCTTATACAATAAAGTTGTATTTTTAATATGTTTTCTAACAAAAATATAGGAGACACAAAGTGATGATAAGATGTTATTTCTTATGTTCGAAAAACTTAAAGAACTTAGTTTTCTCCCCAGCTCTCCGAACTTGGAGAAGAAATTTGTAAGATTTTTAAATACAACCATCCACCTGCTTTTCACATCTTTTTTATTTTATGTTTTTATTACTTTATCTTACACAATAAAATCTTTCCAATATGATTTCTAACAAAAAAATCTTTGGTTTAGGTGGCACAAAGTGATAAAATGTTCTTTCTTTTATTTGAACAACTTTAAGAACTTATCTTTTCCTACCTCTCCCAATTTGGAAAACAAATTTGTAAAATTTTAACTACAACCATCGACATGCTTTTTTCACCTCATAAGAAATCATTGTTGCAGTTTTAACATGTTAAACTCAATATATTGTATCACTATTGAGAGAATAAATATTAGGTTTTTGTTTGTTTCGATAATGTATTATTATCAGAAACTTAGAAAATACGTACAATTTTACCATTGATTTTTTATTATTATACCAATTAATTCACTCACTTATTTCTACTCAAGTATATAAAAAAGACTTAAAATTTTAGTGATGAAAATAAAATTACTAATTGATATTTAAATGAAATTGAAAAAATCCAATAGGCTTACACATGTACGTATCTCTTGCTTGTATACTTCTTTTTTATTTGATTTTTTATTTAATTTTTATCACCGGCTGAGACAAAGTGAAAGAAGGTCCAGCACCGAAGTGCTTTATGAGTCTCCCATCGACCATGGATGGATTCTAAATCGGGCTGAACCACACTCTTACCTTGATGATTGATGACTGACGACTTTTACCTTGACATTAACAAATTACGACTTTTCCACACTCTCCTTACACCACCATAAATTCAGTTGTGTTCCCCTTCTTATAAATCAAATATCAAAAACCAACTCCCAAAAAAAAAAAAAACAGAGCCATGATCGTCAAGTTCCTCATTATCGTGTTCTTCAGCTTCCTTTCCCAATCCCATAATTCCTCTTCCCAAATCCTTGAATTCACTCACTTACAATGGCTTCCATCATCCACTGACTAACATATATATCCATCCAAGAGATTGCCACAGTCACATCCAACAGTATCTTGAAGCTAACCAACATAGGCATGCAGAGAACCGGTCACGCTTTCTACACCAAACTAATCCGGTTGAAAGATTCTCCAAACGGCAATGTCTACACAAGTTTTTTGGATTAATTCTGCATGCATAGAAGTTGTATCTACCATCTTTTGGATTAATTCTGCATGCATAGAAGCTATATGTACCATCGTAACTTAGTAAGCCATGTTTGAATTTTCAAGAATAAAATATTTGATCTCTCAAATAGCAATGATCCATAAGATGGTTATTTATACATAAACCAGTACTTTAGAATTTAGAAACTTTCTTATTTTTTTTGGTTGTTAAGAAGAAGTTTTCCTTTATGTTATTAATCTTTTCTTATTCGTTTAAATTTTAACTTTCTTAAATTTTTGGAATTTTTCTTCTTTGATGTATAATAATATATTTTACAAACTAAAATTATTAATGCTAACAATAACTTATTTGTTTCTTTTTTTGTTTTGAAAATTTTCTTTTATTAAAGAGAGGTAAACATATCTACGTGAGTTTAATTTTCATGTTTACATGTACTCTCTCTAATTTCAATTAACTATATTATTTTAAAATTATTAATTTTTTTATATATACTAACTTGAAGCTAACGTAGTGAGACTAATAATAAATTTTATATTTTCTTTATATCCATATAATGTTTTTCAAAAGTTTATATTTTTATCCTTTACATATATATATATATATATATTTTCCTTTTCAGATATATCTTAATATAGAAAATATTATAATTTTAGAATATTAAATAACGCAATTCTTAAAATGTTAATTAGTGAGATGTCTAATCGCGATTGGTCGTTTAAAATCCTAGGTGGACGGTCTCATAAGCTTATTTTTTCCTTTTCAGATATATCTTAATATAGAAAATATTATAATTTCAAAATGTTAAATAACGCAATTCTTAAGATATTAATTAGTGAGATGTCTAACCGCGATTGGTCGTTTAAAATCCTAGGTGGACGGCCTCATAAGCTTATAGCCTCGACTTTTATATAGTATAGATTTAAAAAATATAAGAAAACTATACGCACATGTCAAATTTATCAACGTGTAAAACCAATAAAAATATTTGTTTAGAAAAACTTTTAAAAGGAAATTATACGTATATATCTTATATAAAAATATTCTAAAAATCTAAAGAAGATAAATATAAGGAAATTAGATGAATCTTATGAAATAAAAATAGAAATATAATGCAACTACACATATATATATCTTATAAAAAAACAATTTTTAAAAAATAAAAAAAGATAATTATAAGGAAACTATATGTATCTTATTAAATAAAAATAGATACGACATCGAACTTATTGGGCCTAATGGGTTTCCCCACTATTTGCTCTGTAAACGTTATCAAGTGGCCTTATCATGTTCTAGGCTTTTTTGGAAATAATCCATCAAGCATCTCTCTTTGTTGTCAATTTCCATTTGGGCAATGTCTTGATATTTTGTAGAAGCCCATAAAATTTGGACTCTGTGTTGTATGTTAATCTTTAACAATCTTATTATGTAAAGTATGGTTTTGAAAGTTAATAACTCATAATATCCTGCCACGTGTCAATTTTATCGATCTCAGATTTTGACACGTGTAAAACGAAAATTTCTTTTTATTTATTTTAAAAAAATATAAGAAAACTATACGCAGATGTCAAATTTATCAACTTGTAAAATAAATAAAAACAAGGAATCAAGGAACTAAAATCTAGCGATCTAGTCAGGGACAAGAACATGAACGTGATAGAGAAGAGATTTTTTAATAAATCGGATTTAAATTTTATGTTTTGAAAAAATCATATGCAAAAAAAAAAAGCTTTGGTTTCGTGAGTGAGAAAGAGAAGTGGACAAAGAGAGAGAAGAGAGAAGAGAGAAAAGAGAGAAGAGAGAAAGAGAGAGA